TTCAGCAGTAGCTTGTCTCTGAAACTGCTCACTGTCCATCTTTGGAATTAATCCTATTCCAAAGGTAAGTTGGTAGGTTTTTAGCTTGGTTTCCTAATGGAGTTTATACAGGTGTGAGCCTGCCTATCTCTTTGCCTTGTTGTAGCCCCATTGGGGTTTTGTGGGTTTTCAACCTTTCCACCAAAGCTCTTTGCTTACCATGCTTTAAGAAATAACTAATTTTGCCTGATGGTCAAAGTTATTGGATTTAATTTAATTTCCAGTAACATATTCAAGAATTGTTGCAGGTTGTTTGGGGTTTTTGGTTTTTTTTTTTTTTTTTGGGGGGGGGTGGGGAGGGGAGTAGGGGTGGTGTTGGTGGAGGTTTTTTGTTTGGTTGGGTTTTTTTGTTGTTTTTTTTTTTGTTGGTTTTGGGTTTTTTGGGTTTTCTTTGTTTTGTTTTCTTGGTTGTTTAGTTTTTTGGTGTTTGATTTTTTTGTTGTAGGTTTGTTAGTTTTTTTAATCACTATAATAAAACTACTATAATGGCAAGCATAGTTAACATTTTGTCTACAATTTATAAAGCAGGTATAACCATAGAAATAATTTTCAACAAAGAAAATGTAATTCAACTAGTTTTAAAGAAAAAGACTGATGAAGTTCGAGCTGTGTACACGTTACATGGAATTTCATTAAAATATGTTTGAAGAGAGTATATACATTATATCTGTCTATTGAGCAGTATGATCAGAATTCCAAATCATGTATCTCTACAAATTATTTACTGGATATTCCTGTTTTGTATGTGCCTGATTCTGAAAAGATTTCTTTCCAGACACTTGTCTGTACATGGCAGCACACAAGTTTAACAAAGCAGCCAGAGAAAGTCCTTGAAGAAGCTTTTTATTTGGATTAATGGCAGTATAAAACTGGATGATCTTAATCTGTTCCACGAATTTATCGTACTTACGGAAGCAGACTCCTAATAAGATGTGATGGGGAGTGTCCAGTGATTTATTAATCACTACATTTGTACCCGTTTCAGGTTTACTCGGGTCAATTAACACAGCTTTGTCAGAGGATAAAACTTTCTTCTGCTAGAATGGTTTTTACGTAAATGTTTGATTTCAGTTTTTGTGTTTTCTTGTTCACTTGCATGATGTGATACAGTAATTGTAACTGCTAACTGTTGTTTCTATGTGTTTCTTCCCAGATTACTAGGAGTATTCAGGCTGTCCAAGATGCAGTAATACAAAAGGATCAGAGGTTTTCCAAAGCAATGGTTCACTCTGGCTCATTGCATGTCACCATGTTTGTGATGCATTTGTCCAATGAAGAAGAAATCAGCATGTAGGTGTTTGGTGTTAAATTAGGTGTATATGTAAGTATTTTTGTTGGAGGAGTTTGTAAAAAGGGATTCATAGAAGAGGTAACTGATGGTTATTTTTCGCAATACAGGGCCTTAAAGTACTAGGGTTACTGAATATTTAATTCCTGTTCTTAAAATGCTACTCTTAATGTTAGTAATTTTCATAACATGGTATGTCATGAGCTCTGAACAAAGTATGCTTTTTTCCCTTGCATTTTCCTTATTGTGCGCTGAACTTGTATGCACAAAAAACAGTGTTTTGATACAGAGCACACTGAGCAGATTTTCAGGGGAATTTTCATAGTTTAGCAAATGTTACAAGCCAAATTAGTAATTGTCACTGAAAGACTTCAATGAAATAAACCTTAGCTCTAAGGTTTTTTATGCCTCATGCAGTTACAGGTTGGCTTCTTTTTTTTAATGCCCTTAAATTAATTTATTATGCTCAAAATTTAAGTACACTTAAAAAGAGAGGTGGCTATTAGGCCTTATCAAAGGTGTAACTTTTATGTTGCTTCAGTGACACAGCTGATTTTTTTATCATATAAAAGGTAGAAAAGTTGTGGAAAGATGTACGTATTATTATACAATGATGTCTGTCATGTCTAAGATGCAACTACTTCCTTTATAAAATGCAGTTCTTTGGTGATTTTTACTATTTATCACAAGCTTACTTTAATGTACAAGTTCAGTGGTTGATACAAAGATGTTCAGACTTGCAAGTCTGTCTATATGGCTGTAATTTCTGAATGTTCAGAATAATAATTTGCACGTCTAGCTGTAATTTTGACTTGAAATGCAAACGAACGGTGTATTTAGTAGTCCTACTTTACACAGACTTTCTCGACAGTTTCTATTTAGATACCGTACATAATGGTTTGCATATGTGATGTCTCTATATTCATGTTATAATTGCAGAATTGATATTGCAAACACTTCAGTAACTAACAGAATGTTATGTGAAGTGCTGATAAATGGCCTACTGGCATTATGAGAACATCTGGGAATCCTCTAATGCTTACGTGTCAGTTTTGTAGTGAATTGCTAATGAATTAAAATTCATCATATCCTTATAATTCTGTTAAAGAGAAGCCTCATGGTTTCATCTCCCCCGGATGAGTTCTTTCAGGGCCCCTCTGTCATATATATATGATAGATATGTATCTATCTATCTTACTGGCTTTCTCTGCAGTGTTAGCAGGCATGTGGTCCATGTACTGAATTATCTAGATCAAATACTGAGAAAGCGCCGTGAGACATTGCTTTGGTTATGGTACAGTTACAAAATAATGTGTCTAATAAGCATGTGTTGAATATTTTTTTCCTCCAAAGGTTTGGCTGTTAAAGTGCAGATTGTTTGTAAGAAAGTGAGAATCCAAGACAGAACATAAAAACCATTTGGTAGTCAAGTGCATGCTTCTAATAAGGAGTATTTTAGCTAAAAACATTTAATCCACCTAAAAAAAATTACTAAATCAAGTGCCCTGCTTTTTTTCCACACATTTTCCTTGAATGCTATATCCTTGAGGCTTCTATACTCTTAACTGTTCTGTGAGGATACAAGTCTGTCAGCAGCCTTGTCTCCATTGGTCTGATCTAAAGGGAGAGAAACAGGTAGCCAGGAACAGAGAATATAAAGGAAAGCAAAGGATACTACATCTGCTAGACTCCTTCTTCTCTCCATGTGCCTTTTGTCTTCTGGGGTAGGCACATCGGCTACCTCCTGCTCTGCTTGAGCAAACTGTAGTAGCACCTGAACATGGGTGAGAACAACCACTGACTGCATGCATGAGATTTTTTAAAAAAGCGTTTGAAGTATGAACTTTTTAAAAAGGGAATGTGAGAGGATATCTCAAAGGCAAATATGCCTCCTCATAAATATTTTTGAGAGTCCTAAACTGTATATCAAAGATTCTCAAATTCAGTATACTCTGCTACTCCTGGAACTCCTTCTCAGCCTTCATTGTCTGACTGCCACCCAAACACTTACTTATGGAGTTCTTCTTTGCCTCTCCCAGCAAAACTCCACAGTCGAGGCACCCAGGAGTTGTCCTCTAGTCAGCACCAGCTTCCCCAGAGATTCGCCCCCTTCCCTGGCCAGATGCCTCCTATACGCATCTAGCTCAGTTATCTTCAGGTATTCTAGATTGCATTTTCTATTATATGGGATTCTGCTTTCTGTTTAATCTTTTGGGGGAAATTGAAGAGTAAAAAGTTGAATTTTCTTTTCTTTGCTTCACCAATTTTTGGTTGCAGGTTAATGGAAAGAAACCAAGATCCAGGCTGGCAAAAGGACCTGTGTGTAATGTAGGCTGACAGCAGTCCCTCAAATAAGTGCAGGTAGTGAACTGGGTATCTGAGAGTTTGCAGATCTTTAGGTTTGGATCTATTAAGTTGCTTAGATATCTACAGTTTTTCTACTGTGTTTGCACAATAGCACCTCTGTCTATAAAGCAATGAAATGTGTTGAACGCTATTTGAAGTCAAAATGCGTGATAAGAATGTGCTAAACGTAACATTCAATTCAGCACAAAGCCCTTTGTATGGTATTTTAGTACATACAGCTTTCACCTTGAAAATGGAAGATCTTTATTCCAGGCTACTCTTTCTAAGGGAATCCAAACCTGCAGTACGCATGCGAGTTTCCTGACTGACTGGCTGTGGTCTGGCCTTCATGAATACACTTCACATCTCTCTTTGTAGGACTATATGAAATCAAGAATGTGAGATTTTAAAAAACATAAAGAAAGCACTCCCTTCAAGCAAAGAAGTTCTAGTCCATGCTAACTGTATGCACAGTCATGGGATCAGGTACTAGAAATCAGGATACCTGCCTTTGAAGTAAATGCCTTCATTACCAGACCATAGTGTCAAGTTCTTCTTCCTTGTTATATGTCAAAAACTCTGTGAATCTAACTTTTTCATTATAAATATGAGAGCTGGAAGGTTTCAGTTTGGCTTTTTTTCTTTTTGTTTTTGCAAAGTTGCTTATTCTAACACGTAATCAAAATTAACAATTCAGAAATTTCTAAAAAGAAACCACTTAAAACTTGAATGCTATAGTATTTACATTACAACAATACAGAAAATACAGGCACTGCTTCTATAATCCTAGTTTGTATGCACTTAGAATATTCTGCTTAAGGCTTTTTTTCTATTCCCTTTCCCACTTCAGAGCAAAATGCTTATAAACTTTTTTGTTATCCCTGAGGGTTAGTTGCACTGTGTGTAACTGCTATTTGGCATCGTAAATACTATTTGGTATGAAATAACAAGAAAATAGCACTGTTGTGTTTATTGCTATTGACTTCAGAAGAAATGTTTGTCCTTGTGCATTATTCTTAAAAAGCAATTGTTAGATGTTATAAAGTGACTGATAGAATACAAAAATACAAAATATGCTAGAGTGAGATGACAGCTATTCTTCTAAATATTTTAGTGTATACAAGATTATCTATGAAAGAAAAAGAAGAACTAAATCTTTAGTGATACAGTGCTAAACTGAAAACACACTTCACTCTTTAAATTGACCTTTCATAGACCTTATCAGGTGGAGATGACATGGTCATTGAGTTCTCCTGCACATTCTAAAGTATGGAAACATACATCTTTGTTCAGCTGGGGGTCAGAGCTTTCCATGACTCTCTGTATACTAGTTCTCAGATGCAAAAAAAATCCAGAGATGGGTTTTAGGTATGTGCGTGATTCGCTACTTGGAAGCCCGCTGCAGTCTGACACAGAGTATTTGAAATACCTGTACTTATTTTGGAACAATTTTCAGGTTCATGTCAGTAAATAAATCTACACATGATTACCTGTGAAGGTAATAATCAGTATTAGATGGTGGGTTTGAAGGGTCTTGAAGTATAGCACATACGGAAGACACAGGAACAGGCTTGTTTCATGGTGATAAAAGGGTGGCTAAGTGGCAGAGATTATGCTCAATCATTACTTGCTAAGGAACAAGTAATGGCATTGTTGTTTAAAGTGGGTATATAGGATATAAAGTACTTCTAGGCTGTATATTAAAGCTGTATTAAAAAAACACAGGAGGGCTACATCAAATAAAGGTATTTTGTCACGTAATCCACCTTAACGCCTTTCTTATACTGGCCTATGTTTCAGTTAAATGCATACTTCTCATCAGAGTCCATCTTGTTAAACACAATGGAAACGTTTGTAGGGTTATTTGCAATTGTACAGGCTTTAAGAATATAATTTAGCCTGCTTTATAAATCATGGTGACGGCTTTCATCCAGCTAGGACAGAAAATGTGAAATAAACTCTCTTGAACGTTTTTAACCTGTTACTGCCATCTAGCGTTCAGAAAGTCAGTCTTAGTGAAAAGTGAATTCGGTTTATTTCAGTAGAATTAAAAACTGTGAGCATGTGAGAGCACTTTAGAAGACACTAAGAATGTTTATATGGGTTTTGTTTAGCAAGTGAATCACTTCAAGTGCAGGTCAAACCAAATATTTCATGAGGTCATACATACACATAACGTAGCTAATAAAATCATTAAAAAGCTACCAGGCGTGCTCCTCTTTCTTAAGTTACATGTACATTATGTGTGTGTGCTACTTATCCCTTAAAGAAAGTAAGCATCAGTTTAGGTAGTACTTCTTTTAATAACAGTTCTCAATGAGCTTAATAGTAATTTTGATGTAGTTTTATCATTATACATATATACATGTATATACATATATATGTGTGTATATATACACACATATATATACACACATATATGCATGTATACATATTATACATTTATCATTATATATAATTTCACTAACCCTTGTTTATAATAATATGAAGTAACACTCTAGTAACTTTGTATGAAGCAGAATCCTAGAGTGTTCAGCCGAGCTATCAGGAGATGAAAAAAGTTAATTACTTTAAGAATGGAAAACTAAGTCCTTTCAAGTAAGGATGTTATTTAAATGGGATGCACAGACTAATAGAAACACTATCATCATAATATGTAGTCATGTTGAGGACTGAGATAAACTCTTTTGAGGAATTACAACTGCTGCCAGCTCTGCCTAATTATTTCTGTGGTTTTACAGCCGGGTATATGAACTAGTTTACCTTTATAAAATGGTAATAATACTGAGTGCATTGACAGGAAGTAGTGCAAAAGTACCTGAGTAGATAATAAATTGATAGTAATAAAACTTTGTGATTTTTTTTTTTATAATGATTAGTAGTAATGTAAACGGTATTAATATATTCAACTTGCCAATAGATACTTTCTTTCCTCTTGACAGAGCAGTTGGTGCTCTTTCAGACAGCAAGGATTTTGTAGAAGATCTCCTGAAAGGAAAAACCGTGGATTTGTCTTTTCAAGGAATTGATCACTTCAAAAATGAAGTCGGATTTGTGAAGTTGGCAGAAAATGATCATACAGCTATACTTAGAGAAATAGCAGGTACAATTTCTCTATCTAGTTTAACTACTTTAAAAACTTTTTAGCAACCTAGATGAGAATGGAGCAGGAAGATAAGTTGATGCTAGTTTAGTCAACATTAATTTACCTTTAACATCTATAAAGGCTACATAACAAATTTCCCATCATATTTCAACAGGATATTGATGAATTACAGGCAGTACTGTTCTATGATATCTGTTTATTTAGTATATGTAAAAAACAGTGCAGATTTGGAGATGGACATAAAGATTCCTTTCTACCTTGTTTTGGTCCAAGTACCATCTGCTGTTTCTCAGATGATATTTGTACCCCTTTCAGTTTGCATATTCATACTTAATGACTTTGAGAACTGTATCTTTGATGCATCTTGCCTTCCAGTATCTGAAGGGGGCCTGTAAGGATGCTGAGGAGGGACTTTTCATTAGGGACTGTGGTGGTAGGACAAGGGGTAATGGCTTTAAACTTCAACAGGGAAGTTTAGATTAGATCTAAGGAAGAAGTTCTTTACGGTGAGGGTGGTGAGGCACTGGAATGGGTTGCCCAAGGAAGTTGTGAATGCTCCAGCCCTGGTGGTGTTCGAGGCCAGGTTGGACAGAGCCTTGGGGGACATGGTTTAGTTGGGGGTGTCCCTGCCCATGGCAGGGGGGTTGGAACTAGATGATCTTAAGGTCCTTTCCAAACCAAACCATTCTATGATTCTATGATTCTACCTGACTTGCAAAGTTACATACTCCTCTCCTTTGTGTTTATTCTGAATAGAGCAGTGAGGGACAATGATGTTCTTTCATTTTCCATGATCCAGGGAGTCTTTTAAGTTTGTGTTTCCTGTATGTTACACATATCACTCTTAAATCTCAGTGAATTGATTGTAATTTACCACTCCCACATGTGTAAGTGCATATACACACACATGTGTGTGTATAGGTATATGTGTGTATGTACTTTATACATATAAAATAAATGTAATAATAGTATAATCATAAAATGTACTTTTATACTTCCTTATATGTATAAAGTAAAATCTTTACTTTCTCTCCACCCCTGGTTTATAGGGGGTATTCAGGAAAAGGACATGACTTGTCTGCCAGAGTAATGGAGTTGGGTTCAACGCTGCTTTAGCCTGACATTTTTTTTTTTTTTTTTTTTTTTTTTTGAGTTTTTGGAAACGTCTTTGGGCTTTTTTTGTTTTTTATTATGTGCCTGCTGGAAGAAATGAGAAAGCCACTGAAAGATGTGGCAGGAACATGCTACTATGAGAGTAAAACTCTCAGTTCTGTCTTGCCAGTGGAGCTAAAGCCACTGCCTTTACCAGTCAGATAAAATGCAGCCAAAGGTACAGTTCAAGTCAGTAGGAGTGTATAAATTAAAAGGATTATAAATATCAGCTGAGAAGCAGCTCTCAGTACCTAGACCAAACCAAGATGGAGTGGAGTTTTTATCTATGCATCTATACTTAAAGTATGTTGTTTACAGATCCTAAATAAAAATTCTCAGAGAACAGTGCTGATTGTAATTCATTGGTGTCCTTTAAAACTATCCTGACAATTCCAACTATTCCTTGGAAAGACTCTTTAAAAGAGTTTTTCAGTATTGATGAATTATCTTTTGTGCTCTGAGGAATGTGAGGTCACACCATTTTTTAATAGTGCAGTAACCCATAGAGGACATTTTGCAGAGTAGCAAAGACTGCTGCTGTCACACTATGTGAAGTGCCTTTAGAAAATATTTAGTATTTTTTAACTGAGATTTTAAAGAACGATTGAATAGAAGACTGTGAGCTTTTCAGCTTACTAGATTCCTTATGCTGTTATTGGACAATGCATTATTATTTTAGGCAGTGCTTCATAGCAGTGTATTTCTAATATTCAGTATGGCAGAAATGGAATGGTCGTTAGCGTTCCAGAGAGGCTTCAGTTGTCACATAATCCCATAATTATTTCCAGGATTGAATCTACCAAGTATTTTTTCAGTCCTTTGGATGATATGCTTTCTCATGTTTGAATTTGTCTTTACGTTTCTTTGAGGGTGACAGAATATTGCATGTATGCTGTTCTATAAAGTGAGATAACTACTAAAATGTAGTCCCATTCAGTAACTCTTGTGGAAGGAGGTGAATGGTTTCTGTTAGTGAAAGAAACTTGATTTTGAGAAGTTTATAGTTAAGAACTCCAAAATAATTAACTGCTAGACATGGAGAGCTAAATATCTTTTAACTGCAGGTAACAAAGGAGTTTGTTACGCGTGATTTTCTACACATCTGAGTCTATGTCGTGGTTTAAGCCCAGCCGGCAACTCGGAACCACGCATCCGCTCGCTCACTCCCCCCCTTTTCCTTCCTCCCCCCGCTCCCGGAGGGATGGGGAGGAGAATTGGAGGAATGTAACTCCCACGGGCTGAGATAACAGCTCTCCAGTAACTAAGGTATAATACAAACCACTACTGCTACCAATAATAATGATAAGAGGAATAACAAGGGAAAAGGACACAACCGCTCACCACCCGCCGACCGATACCCAGCCCGACCCGAGCAGCGATCTGGGCCTTCCGGGTAACTCCCCCCAGTTTCTATACTGGGCATGACGTGCTGTGGTATGGAATACCCCTTTGGCCAGTTTGGGTCAGATGTCCTGCCTCTGCTTCCTCCTGGCTTCCCCTCCTCCCTGGCAGAACATGCGACTGAGAAAGTCCTTGGTCAGAGTAAACATTACTGAGCAACAACTAAAAACATCGGTGTTATCAGCATTGTTCCCAGACTGAAAGTCAAAAACACAGCACTGCCCCAGCTACTAAGAAGGAGAAAAAATGACTGCTGTAGCTGAACCCAGGACAGACTAGTGAACCAGATTTTGATCAGAATTAGAAAAGATGAGATCAGATTTTGACCTGTTTTTCAGTTTGACAGTACAGTTAAATTTAGCAAACAAGCAAACCTACGTTTTCTTTGTAAAGCATAACTACTGACACTGATGAGCATTCTTTGCTTGTATTAGAACTACAGCTGTACATCGTTATTTTCACAACACTTCTGTTTAGTAAAAATGTTTCTTATTTCATTGCTTAATTTTGCCAACCCAGCAAATAATTTCTTGGCTTTAGGCCTGTCCTTCAGTCTCTAGGCTTATACAGTGATGTTTGCTTTGTCCAGCTTTAGTTCTGAAACAAGGTAGGAAGCCGAATATTACCAGAAGAAAACGGTAAAATGACTGGACATGTTTAGTGGGTATGACTAGGATATGCTGTCTTAACATTTCTTAGTGACTATCATAACCTAACTTCTGAATTGCTGCTGATTTTGGAGTATCTTTTTGTGCCTTCTTGGAAGTGCTAATGTTATTTCATAACACATGATCTTTGTGAAAGCAAATTCAGTTCTTGTATTGATGCTTTCACCAGAAGAAAAGATTTTAGGTCTGTAACTAGGTAACACTGAAGATTATACAAGTGTGTTTCAAAAAGTTAGCTTAGTTATATGTCAAATTAGTGGAAAGGCCAGGTATGAGCAGGAAGCAAATGAATACACTGTATAGTTTCTACGTATGTCTTCATTAGAGTAAATAGCAAAGCATTTAATGTAAGTAACCTGATGAAAATAGATAATATTAAATGCATTCATGTGAACTCTTCAGAACTGATGCAGTAAACAACAGAATCGTTAGGATTCTCTCCCCTCCCCCAGTATATCACAGGTATAATTCCTTGAATGTAAGAGTACACTTACAGAGTTCATTGTAACACAGTTTAGTTTGCATGCAGTTTTTACAAAACATTAGCAGACAGTCCTCTAAGGACCAAACCTCCCACTGAAGGTGTTGCATTTTGGAGAAAAGAACATGTAGTACTTCCTATGGGCTGTATTTGACACAACAAATACACCTTCTAATATAAAGAACTGTATTAGCAGAAATGTACCACCGAGTTTATTTTCCATAATACATCATTATTAATTCAAACCAGGCTGTATTTCAAAATTATGCCTAGTATTCCTGCTCTGTGGATAGTATCCTGAATAGATAATTTTCGAGAGATGTGGGAGAAAATATTGGAAACTTTTCTGCTGGGCTGCTGTTGTCAGGGTCTTTGTCAGGATTGCTGTTCAGCTCTTCATCTATACTGTTGTAATCTTATATATGTTTGACAAATTATCTGTCACAAGTGGCTCCTGGTACATCTTGCCTGTGATAGAACATGTCCCTCTAAGGCTGCTATTTTAAAACTGAACCTGGCAGAAAGAAAAAAATATATACAGTACTGCCTGCAAGATGTTAATCACTCTGATGTTGTCCATGGAACACTAAGGAGAGAACTCTTCTCTGGTTTGATTTTTTTGAACTCTAGCTGGTTTGATTTTTTTGCAATACCTAAGTTTAGTTCATTAAAGAATTACTCTTTTGCTGCTTCAAGATTACGGTTGGTTTCTGCTATGCTCTAAGGTGAATTTTCACTTCATGTGTTACTTTGTGTTCTGCATGAATGTTGTAGGAAAAATATTCATAACAAGCAATAGAAAAATATGGAGTTAAATTAGGTTATTGTAAGAGCCCGTTTAGTTCCATAACCTATATGGAAGTTTGTTTGATACCAATGTCTGAGTGTAGTACAGTATTACAATGGTAAGTGCATGTCTGTTAACACCAATAAGTTTGCCAGAACCAAAAGTTCAGGAAAAGCAGAGGTAATATGGGTCTTCTGTTTGTTGTGATTTGCTAGTTATTTCCCAACAATCCATTAGAAGACATTAGCATTATAGAAGTATCTACCACAAATAGCGCCAAACTGTTATGACAGAAGTTTGAGGACTCTTCGTCCAAGTCTTTTTAAAATTCCTGAGCTAAAAGTGATGTATACACTTAACAGTGATTTTTTTTTTTTTTTAAAGAAGTTTTCATTTCTTGTGCTTTGCTACACTACAGAGTATTTGAAGGACTGTTGTGGTTTAACATCAGCTGGCAACTGAGCCCCACACAGCCGCTTACTCACTCCCCACTGGTGGGATAGGGGAG